TACAATGCGGACCAAGATAACTCATTAATCGCATCGTTCAACATTCATGGTCGAATCGTTCATTACATAAATAATACCTGCAGTAATCAATTCGTTTGCATAGCAAACTAAACAATTCATATTTTGATTTTGATATTAATTTTGTTAGATGATGGTACAAATAACTGATAAGAAATACTGTCAGGTGGCTGAAAGAATCGATGACATTCGCCGTATGAGTGCGTCACGTCGTGATGCTCTTCAAAGATTGGCTGGTCGAGAGAATCGCCGACCACCGGTTCAGGTCGTCAGTCCTGAGAAATTGAAGCAAACTTCATCTGCGTCACCAATCACTTCACCCGTTAAGGTCAGTTCAGTGCCAATATCTTCCAACAGCACATTGCACACTTTTGTGATACTTGACCGCTGATATTGTTATTAATGGTTGGCATTTTTGCCTTCGTGAGTATTAATGTTAAGGTACTACAAGAATTCCGAACCAAAAAATAAATGATCAATTTTTAAACTGTCTTCTTTTGTGATGCTATCTCGAGCATCTGATATTGTTATTAATGGTTGGCATTTTTGACTTCGTGAGTATTAATGTTAAGGTACTACAAGAGTTCCGAACCAAAAAATAAATGATCAATGTTTAAACTGTCTTCTTTTGTGATGCTATCTCGAGCATATCTACTACAAGAATTCCGAACCAAAAAATAAATGATCAATTTTTAAACTGTCTTCTTTTGTGATGCTATCTCGAGCATATCGCAATATCCGATATCGCAAACTACCTCATCGTGTACTTCATGTTTGTCTTGGTATATGTTTGGTCTGAATTTTTACGGGCGAATATGTCTGAACATATTCCAGAATGTTACCAACTTCTCAACTGTTGTCCTACTTCTTTGTCACGTTTCGCTCCAAAGAAAGTGGCAAGTATCCGAAGATACAAACGTTTGCTGTCATATACTCGCGAAATAAACCTCGATGCGCTCTCAGCAGTAAATCTCTAATAAGAGAACCACTTATCTTCATTTTGATACCTCTGCGTTGATCCATCCCGTTTCATCCCTGTCTAATTCAGTCCATCAATAATTTCTAGCATCTGTTTCGGTTGCTCATAGTAACAATCCGAGCTAGTGCGTTCGTCACAGAGGCATGTCACAGTGACGTAGGTAATTCTCTTCGTCTCACTGAATTTCAGTAATGGAACTGTCGTTTTATTGTGTTTATCCAGTAATCGTTTATCAATAACCCAATATTATTCATATTCAAAGACGTCTTATCGCATTCTTAAATCTTCCTCATCCGTTTTCCATTAACTCCACCTACCGATTGATCTCATGCAAAGTACTATAGTTTCATCGTGTGCCACTCAGGTATATTATTGCTCCGTCTGAACTACTTGTTTCCCATAATCACTCGATCATTTTCGATCGTCCAAAGTTTAATCTGATCCTTTGTCCACTTCACTCAAATTCCATCCTCTACAGTTTGATATCCATCCGCGTTGTACGTTGCTCAAAGCATTAATTCCTAAATCTTCGCTGCATATCGCTTCATTTCATTTCAATTCGCAATCACACCTGCAAAAAAAATTGATTCAACTCTGCCCACTACTGCGTAGTGTCTATTGCTGAAGTTGAATTCGTTTAACTTTACATTGCAATCATCTGCACTTCTGCTCATCACATTTTCATCATCAATTAATTCCTGACATTCTATAAATTACCTAATTCCATCGTTTTAAACTCCGTTTTGGAATGTCATCTGTGAGCATTTTCGAAAAAATTCAATAACTTTACAATATTCTTTATCAGCCTTTGACGCAATCATTAATCTGCACTTCGAAGTAAGTGAATATTTACTGAGTACAATCACATTATCACTGTTATCCCTCTCTATTGACGTCATATTAGTCCTCAAGTTTGTGTTCGTCTTCGAACGCCGTTTTATTCTCTGAGATCCTCACAGTCAGCATGTTCAGTTGGAAAACTTCATTTATATTCATATATCGCTGATGAATCTCATATTCTGTTCAAATAAATACTCATTTTGCATTCACCAAAATTTCAACAGCAATTCATGAAAGATGAATAATAACTCGTTGAAAATGAAGACTCTCAAAAGACATCTGTCCAATTTATCAATTCTTCCCACTAAGCGTCGTCGCTGCCTGCTTTCGAATTTATCAAATTCACTCGAAAATATTTTCGAATCGTTTCTTCATTCCGATCCAACTACGACTCAAGCACTTCCTCAACAAAATCGAATAGTATTCAACGTGGTTTGTTCCTTTTCCTTTTTTTTTCATCCAAATATTCATTACTGATCACATCGATGTTGACTTGAGTTGCCGCACTTAATTTTCAACTCTACGTATCTTTGTCGTTCAGACATTCATGTAGTTGAAAATTTTCAACTCATTTCACTTTTTCGTTATTGGAACAATTTAGTACTTCACTCATTTATGGATAAACTTCTGAATATTCCTTGACTTGCACAAATTCCTTTAATTGCTACATAACTTGCTGTCTTTATGGTCATTCCATGTGTGCGACGAAAGTCATTATTGTCATCATCAAAGTATTTATCATTCCATAACGTTGTCGCATATGTTGACGTAATCGTTTAATGTAACTGTTTCATTCACATTTCGATATATTCACCTGAATTTGATCATCACTGTCGAAGAATTTCATCAATTATAGTTCATTCAACTTCAATTCTCACCAGTTAATGAATTATTCTGTTAGAATTTGATAGGAACAGTAAACAAATCAACAAATAAGTAACTATCGCACTTGTTTAAAGGTCAAAGTGTGTATTCTTTCATTGTTTGTCACTGAATAATTGATTCGTATTGTTACAGAAATCAGTGGCGTCAATTAAGCGAACACAATACAATACACCTTCTCAGGTGTTCATTGTTTGCGATACATATTTGTTTGCGTTAAGACATTCCTCTTTCACGACTGCCATCCGTCAATACACTGAGAAGTAGTTATGATCAATTTGAAGGTTTTATTTATGAAAATAAACAGATCTAATGGAGCCGTAAATATTGGTATGGTTTTTTTAGCCAATCCACCTTTTAAAAATAAACTTCTCTCGAGTTTTTTAGTGCTCTATAATATTGCATTGAAAGAGCTATTACTCCGAAACTTTTCAGTTGTTAATAGAATNATTTCATCTCTTTCTTATCAAGTTTTTTTAAAAAAAAAGGACATAATTGAATTTGAATAATTACCGTCCATAATTTTCGTGTATTTGTTTCATAGATGATGTTTACGTAAGTGGACTCGTTTCATTATTACTTATTACAGCAAAAAAGGAGAAAACAAGAAAGTGAAGTTTGATTTTTGGTTTCTGTAATAATAGAATTCCGAGGAATTATTTTAGTCTTGTTATTTCTGAGCGCATATTTCTTTTGATAAGATTGTGTGCAAGAATGATACATATTCTTCTCTGACATACAGTTTACTCATTGTTTGGGCATAATACCGTATTGTGAATGCAACAGGAGAGCAAAAGGAAATTCACATTTTGAAGAATAACTCACTCAAATATTTGAGTTTCAGCTATTCCGTATTATAATTCGAATATTTACACATTTTTCCGCATTCATTTTTTTTCTTATTCTGTGTTCATTGAATGAATATACTGTAAATATTGACTTCTTCCGATTATATTTGTATCACTCAGTTCAGCTTATCTAAGGGATTAGTTGGTTTTGTGCTATTGATGACAGGAAGACATATCATGTCAGACGTTTGAAGAACACCATTCTTTGAAATTAAACATAATTCTCATCTTAACAAGTATTGTCGCTAAATAATTCCAAAAAATCCTCTCCATAAACAAAGCGTTGAATCTCAGCTCAGTTTCGTAACCTTGAGCAATATTGCTTATGTGTTTCAAGTCGTTAATTCGTTAAAATTATTCAAATTTTAGAAGGTCATTCATATATTCTCACTGCTCTTTATTATCCAAAAGTGCTCACAAAAAACGTTATGTCCCATTGTTTGATGTATTCTATACATACAGATATGCACAGCTTTGCTCCAACGATATTCTGCCCAGTTTTTGACCTCATCATATCAATTCCCACCATTAAACATTCATCGTTTGTGTTACTCTCTTCTCTGATCATCCTCAGAATCACATTCTTACATATATCTTCCATATATCCGCATCAACGAACTCATTCCAATTGTTATCCTTTCTCATTCCAAGCAACTCTATGCCAAAGCATACGCCTTTCCTCTATTAACTACCTCCTTACATGCGCACCATTCGAACTTGCGTCTGTTTGCCAAATACATTTTTCATATCATGATTTTCGTTCAGAAGAAACATTTTCCACGGAGTGTTTTGTTTTTTTGCAAGAAATGAAACACAACCTTTTTATTATTTGTCTCACGTACCAGTCTGAAACTGCTTGGCGTCGATCGGCTGGCTCTGTATGTTGATGGCATATGAAAAAATTGTTAACGATAGGATCTAATTTTAGTTTCTGCAATAATCGGTTTAGCAGATTCATTGCGTTATTTTTTCACTTCATATCAATGTTTAGAAAATGTCACTTTTTATTCTCTATGCTCATATCAACTTACTTTAAGCGATCACATAGATGAATATTTTTTTCTCAACCTTCAAAGTGACATATCGCTTTAGTCTAAGTATTGTGTTGGAATTATCTCTTTTCAGTGAGGATATTCTTATTCTCGTCAGTATATTGTAGCAAATTTCATGACGAAACATTTCGAAGCTACATCGTTTCACTGAAATATTATTGCATTATTTTTTTATTCATCACTCCATCTGATTACGTTAAGCATCTATCTGTGTGGTGAAGATAACGCATGAGTCTCGCCAACTCCTACATCCATTTCTATTTCTCTATTCATTTTGAATTTCACAACGTTGACTATTTTCATCTTTACACTCTATCAAACAAATTCTTATTGCTGTCAGAATATGTCCAAATAATTGTCACCTATCACTTTCGCTTTATACCTTATTAATGGTAATCGTTTTGCCTGCGGTTAACTGAAATCTTCCAGAAATCTAGTTTTCAGTCATTATTTGCTGTATAATCAAATGATCGAGATAAATCGACTGTTGGAACTCTTTTACGTCACTTCCTATGTGCCGTAGCATTTTGTTTACAGAGCGATTCTTTTTGGATATCGTTTAACCGTATTTCGCTTTCCTCATTTCTTCACTCTCTTCAAACTCGTCACTCGAACTTCTCTCACAATTAGTTCAAAATCTGCAGCGTGATCTTCTTCAAGTGTTCATTCTCGAATGTAATGGTGCGAGTGTACATTCGAATACATTATTCACTTCCTCTTTAAATTAATACCAATAAATTGTCACACAATTATTCCAATAAATTATTGCGGCATAATTCGCTTTTAATGA